TAAGATATTAATTTAAAGGTTTTCTATGGTAAGTACTCTGTGTGAGATTTTGGTTTAATTAATTTTAATGATGAATTTATAAATCTGTTAAGCGAAAAAAGTTAGAATGGAAACTTAAAAGCTTTATTGTATAATCATCATTATTATCATATATTATAGCTGTGTTATTGCAAAAAGGTGATTCTTACTTGATTCCTAAATATATTTGCTTATTCAAAGCTGACGTTTCAGCTGCTTACTGTGTGTGCTGAATCACAACTGACTTTGTGCTACAGTCTTGTGCTAAAGAGGTGATTGCAGAAGTGCCAGCAGTGCTCCCTTAACAGCATGCCACATCTATCGGCTTGCACTCTGGTCATGAGAAAACATAGCCATTACCTAACTGATTCTCCTTGGTTCTTTAACTTGCCTGGAAACTGAAAAGAAAATGTTCATGGGCTACTTTAAGGAAACCCCAAACATTGTTTGCAGCTGGGGAAGAAAAAAAAAAAAAAGGTGATAATATTAAAGGAAGGTCTGTAAAAGATGCAAACGTGGTCACAGCACCAGATGGTATAGCTACAGAAATTTTCTTTAATGATCCCTTTCAAAGCCACACCAAAAGGCTGAGCAAATGGTTCAGGTGGGAATCTGAACCCACCTTTATCAGCCGAATTCCTGACCCCAAACTCGTGCAAGTTCCATTTCAGCGACACTGTGTAATGAGGCAAATGTCATCGTGCTTGTGCCTGCTGGGTCAGAGGATCACTGTGCTCTGGGATCCCACGTCCTGGCGTGCAGGGAGGAATTCAACTTAAGGTTAGGATTCACCACGCTGCTGGGTTAACATCCAAACTCGAACTTCAGTGGGATTGCCCTTCCCTTCAGAGAGGCCTAATGGGCTAATGTTCTGTAGTTAGTGCTAAAATGCTGTGTAAAATACCTGCAAATGAAAAAAATTTCTGTAGATATATTTTGAAATTCTGAGTTCATCTCTGCATATCCTATGGAACAGTGAGTTTTATTGATAAAGTTCTTATGGCTTTTACAGAATCATCAACAGAAAAAAATTCTACAAATAGGAAACTAAATAAACTGGGATACACCTACAAGAAATTGCTAATAATTTTTTAAAATCTTATTTCATAGGTAACTGGCTAAAAGAAAATGGCTTAGCTAGAATTGTTAAAAATGATGCAACAATCAAGAATACAATAATCCATAAAACAGTTCAGAAGTTTTTTACAGGGCAACGCCTTGCATAGGACTTGAAGATTGGGATTCGCTCTCCATATATGCTTTATCTAAAACAAACAGGCAAAATTAGTTATTTGTACTGCAGTTTTGTGCAGAGGTTGATATCTTTGGAATGAATGAGTAATTATGTGGTGCTTCTACATTATAACATGGAATCAGTGTTGACATCTTGTCCTAGTTTTAGCTGGGATAGAGTTAATTTTTTTCCTAGCAGCTGGAATAGTGCTGTACTTTGGATTTAGTGTGAGTAATGTTGATAACACACTGACAGTTTTAGTTGTTGCTAGGCAGTTGTAGTCCCTACACTAAGTGAAGGACTTTTCAGCTTCCCACGCCCTGCCAGGTGCAGAAGCAGCTGGGAGAGCACAGCCAGGACAGCTGGCCCAGCCTGGCCAAAGGGATATGCCATAGCATATAGCATCATGCTCCCTATAGAACTGGGGAAGCGAGCCAGGAGGTGGGATTGTTGCTCGGAAACAGGCTGGGCATTGGGTTGGTTTTTTTTCCTTCTGCGTGTGTGAGCACCTGCATTTGTGCATCATCTGGTTGACGATGATGATGATTATTTTAATCCTATTAAACTCTCTTTATCTCAACCCACAAGTTTTTTTCCATTCTCCTCCCCATCCTCTTGGTGAGGGGAGGGGTGAGCAAGTGACTGCGTGGTGCTTACTTACTGGATGGGGTTAAACCACGACACATCTGCATTCATATTAATCTTGCTTTACATGCAATTACCTGTAAATTGGACACTGACTGCATTGGGCAAGCAGCGACATTTTAAGACATCTACAGACAAAAATATTCAGCTTTTTAATCTGCATTTGGTTGTCAAAGTCTGTTTTATAAATCTACTACTACTTTTGTTCTGTACCACCAAACAGTTTTACTGACAGAGCATTTCATATGACAATGCTTTTCAATTTTTAGGGTATGTGTCAGCAAAACATATGCATAGGCCTTGCAGGTCTTGAGTGACAGATAAAAAGGTAAGAAATATGATAAGAAGGACATGGAAAATTGATATCACAATACATACTATTGTGTGTGGTACACTAACGGTTATTTAGTGAAGGGGAAGCAGAACAGAGTTTTTGACAAGTCTCTCATTTAACAAAGCATATGTGATCCTCACGCCAGGTCACAGCCCTTAAAAAAAGATACCTAGATTGGTCAGGCATTACGTAGCTAACTGAAACTTGTGTTGAAACTTGCTGCTAAAAGATACAGAGGTGAAATCCCAAGGGAAGGTAATATGCTCACTCTAAGTATTATTTGTTCAGGGCAAACATAAGCTGAAACAGCTTGAGAGGAAACCCATGACATGATTTGGGCTACGCCTGAGTTTGTCTAGCTCTATCCTCTTCCTAACACCAGTCTCCATACCCCTTGTGCTGCTGCTGTGGGATTGGATGGGAAAATCTGTCATTCTTTAACACAGTATCTGCACAAGGGGAAATTCTCCTTTGATTAATGAAGAGGCTCTTGCAATCATTTATACAATCACAGTTGGACTTCCTAGGGCTTATTCCTTTGCGAACTGCATCTCCAGCATCCTCCTTTACACAGCAGAAGATGGAAAAGGATTTGGTAAAAACCTTTGTGGAAACTACTTAGAGGTGAAACATATTGCTTTTGGCAGCAGGGATAATACTTCCAGATATTCTTGAGTGGGTTATTCATTATATTCTTGAACTAGAGAGAAGTTTTAGATAAAATACTCACAAAGAGTTGACTATAATCTTTGGAGGATATAATATAATATTTGGAAAATAATGCAAAGATAGCTCCAGGCCACTCCTGTGCATACTCCCCTAGTATTATTTTGCCTGTCAGCTCCATTTGGGGCAGTTTATTCGGAACCACAAGTGGTCTGTGTCAAAGGGATTAACATACTGAAGATGAATATGGCCTTGCTTTTCCTTTTCTGGCTTGGATGAGAGAAAAAAAAATATTTTTAGGCTTAAAATTACACACAATTTAATGGGTCAGGGACCAAACTCTCTTCCTTGGCTAGTTATTGAGATAGCCCCAAACACTAAAACGTACAGAAGATCTTGTGGTCTTTGCAGCCTTGATGATGCAGTGTATCCTAAGAGCAATGTTTTGGTTTAGAATATTGTACTGCAAAGAAGCTGGGAACCTGAGAATTGAAATTTTCCTTCAGTAATAAATACATGCCAGAAATTTACTTAAGTATCATGTTTTGAACCCCCACAACACAGAAAAAATGACCCATCATTTGAATGGGAAGAATAAGGCCCACCCTATCAGCACACTAGATCTTTTCCCACAAGATCTAGACAAGACAGGGCAGTCAGTCTGTGCATGGGCAGAGATTTCTTTTTTACAACTAGGAATGTTTTTTGGTACTATTTCATGAGTGATTTATTGAAATCAAGCTAACATAAATAGTACAGAGAGGCTGCCAGCTGTGGCTGCCTGATGGCTCTAAGTAGTCACAGTGCCTCTGTGAAAGCTAGTTAAGTATTGAACAGTATGAGATGCTAATAGTCCAAATAGAAATAATTGTATTTTGCTCCTACAGGTAATGCATGAGAGAGCATGTTCTCTAATGAGAGAATTTTGTGCTGTAATAGAGGAAAGCAGAGACTGAGGTTTGGATTTCTTATTTCAAACTGTGTGTGATTTTTGCAGGGGATACCATAAACGAAGCAGTTTATTTTAGCCAGTGCAAAAATCAGATGGGGAAATTGAGACTACATATTTGGGGAAGATTTTCATCTCACATTTAGTCAGTACACTTCTTGTCACCATCACTAACCCCATGACTCTATCGTGTGTCTCGCACGGATGCTCTTTTAAGGCAAATCTTTCTCTGTCTAGCCAGCTGTCAGGCAGGCAGCACAGGCGGCCTCTTTTCTCTGCTGCAGTTACTACAGCAAGCCTTGTCCTGTGGTGCTGAAACCAAGAACATCTCCCCCTTAAAGCAAGAAATTTATTCTTGTATTCATACCACATTTTCCTTATTAAGAAAAAATATGATTCATAAAATATTACCCTATGGCAACATGCAGACTTTAATATTAATGCCATTTTATTAAAAAAAATTTCCCCTAAACCAGAAAAGATTAAACTCAAGCATGAATAAATACTAGTATTTGCCTGGAAGCTACATCTGTGCCCTTTGTCTCCCATCTTTTGACATCCTGTGAACATCTCTAGAAAGTTATAGAACATTTTCTCTTGAGCAAAAAGCCCCTCATGGATATGGATGTGTTCAGTAGTCTTTGAGAAATGTCTAGAGGTCTTGTAAATTCTCACTCCCATGGCTCCAAGCTGGCTGTATTCCACAACCAGGTTTTACACAATAATTAGACAGTTGCTCAAATCATTGTTACTCCATCCTTTTGCCTCAGAAAATGTTCCTTTCACGAGATTCTGCCTGTTCTGCTGACTGATAAGAAAATGTGCATTCAAATTGCTCCTGCTTGTAAAAACTATGACTGACAACACTGTGCAATTCAAGGATCGTAAGCCATAGGTTATTCCTAGGTTCTTTTGAATCAGCATGAAATGTGCTTCTGTGCTGAAACGTCCAACCCTGTATTTTTAAGCCTTCATTTTATTCTTGGCAATCTTATCTCTGGAAGGCAGCATAACTGCAGCAATTGCACATCTCATTTCAGAAAAATAAAGAAACATTCATTTTCCATTTTAATGGTTTACTGGAACCTAGTTCACAGGGAATTAAGAGACTGACGATGAACGAAAATGAAAAACAGCAAGACCCAATTACTTACCCGTGCTAGGCTGGTTCCAGAAGGAACTTTATACGGGACATACTTCCTGTAGATATGCCCAACTCGAGAGCATGGAACATCAAACATGCCACCTCCACACATCCACACCTGGAAAGAGGACACAAAGCAAATGAAAGAATGATTCCTAGAAACAAATGGGGCAAAGACAGAATTTTAAGTAATGGGTATATGAAAATGGCACATCATTCTTTACTGACCCCTGCCACAGTCATAGTGGTGGCCTTCTCAGCATGCTCATAGCTGGGGTTAGGTAATATGGCAGATTCTCCTACCCAGAATCTCACTGTGCAAAAGCAGAGTATGTTCAAGATAAAATCATAGAATATATTTAGAATATCTACCAATGACTCTCCTGCAACACAACCAAGCTATTATTGTGTCTGTTGTTTAAAACATACAGGACCAAAATTTCAAAAGAAGGTTAAGTAAAGCAAGCAATTAATTTAAGTAAAAACCATTTTTTCCAAAACACCTGGCTTATATTTAATTTTAAATAGCGAATACAGAGCTCAAATACTAAGGTGCTCTTCGTTTTGTAAAGAAAAAGGAACAAAAATCAATTTCCTTCTGTTCAAATTCATGTAGGCAGAGAAGGAAGATCATGCCACTACATTTCATCATTAATACTTTAATGCTAAAACAGAAAGAACCATCTGGAGCACGCAGGTTTGATGCTTCAGGTCCAAGCAACCAAAACTCAGTCAAAACTGATGGGAGCTGCAAGTACTTCACTGTATCCTGACGGGCAGCAAGTAAGGAGTTCTGCACAATTCTTCACCTAGCAAGACTAGGTTTTACCAAGTGTATGTGAGACCACGGTTGTGTGTTGTGTCAGAGGAGCTATGGCAATCATGCCAACACACGGCCATGATTTTCTATGCTCTGGCAATGCACTCCACCAAACTCCAACATGGCTATTAGATGACTTATGTAGCACACTGACAACATTCATGACTTTCTGATTTAAAAAAAAACCAAACCAATTTGACTTTTAAAATCAGCGAAATGGAAAACAATGATAAAACCACCCCCCAAAGCCTCCAAGCAGAACTTTCAAAGTATCCTAAAGCCAACCACACAGCAAGAGTTTAAAATTAATTTAGAGTGAAAACATCAGTATTATAAACAATATTTCCTAATCCTGGCAAAACAATTTTTTGTTCCCCACAAGTTTAGAACAGAATGGCTGTTATTCCACGTAAGGCACACTTGTGATCTCAGCTTTCAGTCTTTCAGACTGAAAACAAAAAAACCCCAACCTCCTCCCACCCAGCTGAAAAGAAAACCACATCAAAGCTGAGCAAGAGAGAGGGCTTGTCCTTTCCATGTCTCTTTATGTGGACATGCATAAAGATGCTTCATGAAACATCTCCATGAATCTGGATGAGAATTTAGGTCCATGCATTACATATACAAAGGAATTTTATCTGTATTTGTTGGGCTCTGGAGTGAAATGGTGTGAAATAAGTTTGCGACTGAGGCTAAAACAGAGCAGAACATAAGACAACTGAAAGTTTCACCAACAT